TGTGTGTGTGTGTGTGTGTGTGTGTGTGTACACGGTAAGGTAAACCGATCCCTCGTCAAGGAGCTCCATGAAAATATAACCTGGGATAAAAGTAATAAATTACGAATAAGCCGAAGATTTTTCATAACATGATAAATATTTAAACTTTCTGTTCTGGGAGATTGTTCTATATTTTAGTTCAAATACTAGCATTTTCCTGTTACTTAATTATTTCTCGTTATATAATTGTTTGTTGTTTCGAAAAATTCATGAGAAAGATTTCACAAAATCTTTCTTAAGCGACTTTTATTGACATATCTATATCGAGCCAATCGTGTAATTGCTTTGATGAATTATATGGACATAAAAAGATAATTGGGTCGAGCTACAACCTGTACGAAATGTAAAAAAACAAATATAAAGAGAAGAATAATAAATGAGACATATCATTGATACGAAAAACATGTGAAATAGCATATATGAAGTATAAAAAGTAATATATTATAAATCGACTGTGACTTCGTATTCTATAATAATATTCAGATTTGATTATAAAAAATACAAAGTTAAGTTATAATTTTTATAATAAAACTTATTTTGTTTACATGACACTACGGATTTGAGCTTCTTTAAGATATATTACTTTTAAGAAATTAGAGTTGTTCTACTCAATTCGTAAATAGATAATTACATAAATACAATTTTTAAAATTTTCGACGTTTTAATCTATTTATCTCGTTTTTAAAAAAGAATTGTTTATCGCCATCTTTATTTTAGTCGCAACTTACCACCACAGTAGAAGAGGCGAAAAGGCGACGAGCACCGCACCGGTACCAATATGGCGTCCGCAGAAAGGATTCCGACACATTTCAACACGGCGCGACGGCAGCAGTCGCTTTCTAATCGTCATCAGTTAATATTTGACGGCTCTCGGATAAAATCGAAGCTTTGATGTTGCGCTACCAGGCGGCAGTTCCAACGACGACGAGCACGACGACGAAGAGTAGCAAGCCTCCTCGCTCTCCTCGTGGAAGCGCACCTGTGTCAAGCGCGCGCCGCGTGCGTGTCTCGCTCACAAACTCACTCGTAGACGCAGTAACGACGAGGAACGAGCTCCAAGAACGTCGGAGCACGTCGTCGAGCGTCGAATACAGAGTACAGAGTTGCGAGTAGTTCCAAGAGGAAAGCTTCTCCACGTAACCGCTCTCTTCTTCGACGTTCTTCTGCCTCATCTTTCTCTTCCATTTGATTTGTAAGTTAAAACCCCTTATCGTTCTGTTCGCGACCTTTCGGTCATATCGATTTCGTCCGTTGTCAGAAACCGGCAACGCAATGTCGGGTTATACAGCGAGTCAATAAACAAATCAGTGATGATCTCAGTGATGTTAAATAAATTTTTATTTATATATAGTTAATAGATGATTTGGGAATAATTCAAATTATGAGAAATTAATGATTAAAATTAATCATTAGATAAATAGTTAATATTTTTTTAGTGACAGTCTTCTCTTACGTATATCTGTAATAATAGATGAAAGGATCTCACGTTTAATATTTTAACTTTTTTATTACTAACTTTATAATACTAATGTAAAAATATTTTTTAATTAATATTAATATAAATTTAATATACAGTTATATATACATAACCATCATAATTTAACACAATTTAACAGTTTCAATATAAAAATGACCATTAAAGCCTAATAATAAATGTTATTAACATATAAATGCTATTAAATGTAAT